TTTCCTACCAGAAGAAGATTTGTCAATCGGCAGTTATCAAGCACCTCCACAAGGTATCTTCTTCTCCCACATCAGAAACAGGGGCAATAATGAGTTGTCCAAGCGATCTAGTTGCTCTGTCAACCAAGGTACCAAGGTAGGTTCGGCTGAAGAACATAACCAAGAGGCCTCCACTCCCCACAGAGTAAGACAAGATTCAACAATTCTCCCCGAATAGAGTTGGTCTCCCATCAGCCCTAAAAAGGCACAATATCTCCAGCAAGTCATCAACACTCTCCCCAAGCAGAGTTAGCCTACAGTCAGCCTTAAGGACGTTGGGTATCCCCAGAAAATCTCAATATTCCCCAGTGGAGTATACAGATTATTCCTCAGCAAGCATCCCCGGAAGTCTTAATATAAGATTGTTCCCCGGCGGAATACAGACATCCAGTGGGGCCATTCCCCAGTACAGTCCAAAAGTCTCCCCAGGAGAGTTGAATCAATCTCCCCAGTAGGAAGCTTATCCCCAGTAGATTTTGGAAGCTAATCCCCTGCAGAGCATAAAAGCATCTCCCCGGACTTTATTCAAAGGTTGCTCCACCAGAGCTTATAACTGGGTTATCCTCAGCCAATTGCCACAGAAAGATCGTCCCCGGCGAAGTCTTCCTATCCCCAGTGGAGTTCATCAAATCTTCCAACAACGCTCAACAATGGTATCCCCAGTGGAGTTATCATCAAACCTCAACGAAGTATCTCTTCCCACAGAGTATTTTCCTGCCGAGTAATCTCTCCAACAAGTTTATTCCCCAACGGAGTCATCTTCTCCTACCGGTTTATTCTTGCAACCATCATCCCCAGCGGGAATGAAGAACTCTACTCTTCAAATTCAGCCCAGGACCAAACTTCCCGGCATCCGTCAAGGATTTATTTTCCTAGAAAAAAATCCATAAACATCACATCTTCATACGTTATAGCATGCACATACGCATCATGAATATACAATCTCATCTATTCTGAGAACATCACGCATGTCATACATCATGACATTGCATACAACTAACGTTTTGTCTTTTCAGGACCAAGATGATCACTATCAACTGTCGCAATTCCAGATTCGATACCTGTATCTAGCCAGGGCATATCTGTGAGCAATTATTTCCAGACTCGATTCCTGTATCCTGCCAGGGCACGTCTGAAGAGTTTGAAAGATCCGATTCCTGTATCCAGCCAGGGCGTATCTGTTGACGACTATTTCCGGACTCGATTCCTGTATCCTGCCAGGGCACGTCTGAAGAGTTTGAAGATCCGATTCCTGTATCCAGCCAGGGCGTATCTGTTGACGACTATTTTCCAGACTCGATTCCTGTATCCTGCCAGGGCACGTCTGAAGAGTTTGAAGATCCGATTCCTGTATCCAGCCAGGGCGTATCTGTTGACGACTATTTTCCGGACTCGATTCCTGTATCCTTCCAGGGCACGTCTGAAGAGTTTGAAGATCCGATTCCTGTATCCTGCCAGGGTGTATCTGTTGACGACTATTTTTCGGACTCGATTCCTGTATCCTGCCAGGGCACGTCTGAAGAGTTTAAGGATCCGATTCCTGTATCCTGCCAGGGCGTATCTGTTGACGACTATTTTCCGGACACGATTCCTGTATCCTGCCAGGGCACGTCTGAAGAGTTTGAAGATCCGATTCCTGTATCCAGCCAGGGCGTATCTGTTGACGACTATTTCCGGACTCGATTCCTGTATCCTGCCAGGGCACACCTGAAGAGTTTGAAGATCCGATTCCTGTATCCAGCCAGGGCGTATCTGTTGACGACTATTTTCCAGACTCGATTCCTGTATCCTGCCAGGGCACGTCTGAAGAGTTTGAAGATCCGATTCCTGTATCCAGCCAGGGCGTATCTGTTGACGACTATTTTCCGGACTCGATTCCTGTATCCTGCCAGGGCACGTCTGAAGAGTTTGAAGATCCGATTCCTGTATCCTTCCAGGGTGTATCTGTTGACGACTATTTTCCGTACTCGATTCCTGTATCCTGCCAGGGCACGTCTGAAGAGTTTGAAGATCCGATTCCTGTATCCTACCAGGGTGTATCTGCTGACAGTTATTTTCCGGACTCGATTCCTGTATCCTGCCAGGGCACGTCTGAAGAGTTTGAAGATCCGATTCCTGTATCCAGCCAGGGCGTATCTGTTGACGACTATTTTCGGACTCGATTCCTGTATCCTGCCAGGGCACGTCTGAAGAGTTTGAAGATCCGATTCCTGTATCCTGCCAGGGTGTATCTGTTGACGACTATTTTCCGGACTCGATTCCTGTATCCTGCCAGGGCACGTCTGAAGAGTTTGAAGATCCGATTCCTGTATCCAGCCAGGGTGTATCTGTTGACGACTATTTCCGGACTCGATTCCTGTATCCTGCCAGGGCACGTCTGAAGAGTTTGAAGATCCGATTCATGTATCCTGCCAGGGTGTATCTGTTGACGACTATTTTCCGGACTCGATTCCTGTATCCTTCCAGGGCACGTCTGAAGAGTTTGAAGATCCGATTCCTGTATCCAGCCAGGGCGTATCTGTTGAAGACTATTTCCGGACTCGATTCTTGTATCCTGCCAAGGCACGTCTGAAGAGTTTGAAGATCCGATTCCTGTATCCAGCCAGGGCGTATCTGTTGACGACTATTTTCGGACTCGATTCTTGTATCCTGCCAGGGCACGTCTGAAGAGTTTGAAGATTTGATACCTGTATCTAGCCAGGGCACATCTACATAAAGAGTTTGAAGATCAACCCCTGTAACAGGCCAGGTAATTTTCTCTCTTTCTCAGGTACGCAAGTTCTCGCTAAGGAATCTCTTACGCGATCGATAACCTCCCGATGGCATCTATAAGCCCATCTCCACAACTACCATTACAGTCCCAAATGGCATCTATAAGCCCATTCCCGACAAAGTTCTGCCACACTTCCAGATGGCATCTATAAGACCATCCTCCTATCCATCATCTCTCCAAATGGCATCTATAAGCCCATTCCCGACAAGGTTCCATCATCTCTCCAAATGGCATCTATAAGCCCATTCCCGACAAGGTTCTGTCAAACTTCCAAATGGCATCTATAAGCCCATCCCCGACAAGGTTCTGTCACATCTCCAGATGTCATCTACAAGCCCATCCTCCTATCCACCATCTCTCCTGAATGGCATCTGTAAGCCCATTCCCGCCATCACACTGCTGATACTCAACTATGTGAGTGCAAATTTCTGGGCACTCTAGTGTTCAATCATCTTCCACCCTCGTATCACGAAAGGCACACAAGCCAATCTACATCCTCAAGTCTAAGAAGATTGAACAGGGGCAACTGTTGTACCCCAAAATTTTCCCTCCCATAATCTTCAAGGTTTTGACAAGCATCACCTCAAATGGTTCAAAGTCTACTCAAGGGCTACACAGTCAACCATCCTCCTAAGCCAGTTCAATTAGGGTTTTGGTTCTTGCAAGGAAGTTGAGGTTTTCAAGGGCTCAATCAAGTCCCATATGCTCATATACATTGTCAAGCACCTGCATGTCAAGTTTCAAGGCTCACAAGGTCAAGTTGCACAGTCAAAAACCCTAATTGCTCCACAATCAACTGTAGGGGCAAAATGGTCATTTGGCAGTCAAAAGTCAAAATTTTTGGTCAACATCTCATTTTGAAGCCACAATCATCATTTGATCAATTCTTGATCATGATTCCACAAGAATGGCTCAAAAATCATCAAGGTGTCAAAAGTTTCTATTTTTGGACAGCTGAAAAGTCAACTGTAACTTGACCAAGGCATAACTTTTTCATGGTTCATCAGATAAATCCCATCCAATGCTCATATTGAAGGGGAGGACATTTCCTACAACTCACCTTCACATTCCAATTCCAAGAAATGCTCCCACAAAAAGTTATCAATTTCAACATTATAGGTCATTTTCAAAAGTCAACAAAAAGGCACTTTAAGTCAAAGACCATAACTTGATATTGGTAAATCAAAATGACATGGGACCAAAGACATTGGTTAGAGGACTTCAAGACCTTTCCAAAATGTCCAAGAACATGTTCATAGCTTCAAAATTGAGCAAGATATGCATGGGAGAAGTTGGGAAATGTTTGTGAAATGGCCAAAGTCAACTATCCTTGAAATTTCATTTTAGACAAAGAGGGCCCACTTTTTCCACTTGGTTCAGCTTGGCCATGCTTCCCACGTGTCCCACAATCTATTTCAAGATTAAAAATTAATTTTTCCATTTTTATTTAATTTCATTTGATTTAATTCATTTTAAATCTTTAAAATTCAAATAAAAATCAAGAAAATTAATGGAGGGATATATTTTGTGTTGAATAGCTTTGATACACCATGAAGTACCTTCCAAATTCGTGTACATCCTATTATGGGCATAGAAATTCAAATTTTGACAAAAATGGCAAGTTGTTTAAATGGTGTTCATGGCAAAATCCAAGAGATAATGGCAAGGCTTCAAGGCTCATTATATGGATTGATACTCATTCAAGACCATATATGCAAGCTTTCCCAATACATTACACGACCTAGAAACCATCCCTCTAACCTTTCTATTTCTCTGGTACTTCCTCACATCACAACAAACCCCATCCATTTCTTTCAATTACCGTAACCCCTCCCTTCCACTGTTAACCAACATCACCAACAGTAACCCTCCTTCGCCCAACGTCTGCCTTCCGTTTATCACCATCCTCATCAACCTCATCTTTGATCCGTCATCAAACTCCCTCTCTCTCTCGCCAAGCAAAAACCAATCCTCTTACCTTTACACAAAAACACCAATAATTTGTAAAAATCAAAACAGAATCACAAAAACCGACAACCACCGACGAATTTGCGGCTGGCCACTAGCGCCTCCCTGCAACGGCAACACTGCCGCCATGAATTGACACCACCAGCTGCTTCTCCATGCATCTGCGATGAAGCCTTCCGACACTTTACAACAACATTGTTCTCCAACGTTTGCAGATCAATCATAGCATGCTATGGGCTAAACACTCACCACACCACACATGTGACTCCGACAGCCACCCCAACAAATGCAAAGGTTGCAATCTCGATTTGTCGGACACATCGGCGTTCCTCCGTGCTGACAAATAATTACACATCACAGCCCACCACTGTGGAACTTTTAGTGTCGTCCAATCCTGATCCAACAACAACACCATCATCCTCCTTCGTCCGAGCCACACCATCATCGGATACGACAACTCACGTTCTTTCACCATCGCAACCCTCTGTCCTCGCGACATTCAACATCAACTGCAACACACCGTCGTTCATCACCGATGAACAGATCCAATATATCATGCCGGAGATCCACCGTTATCGGCCGCAAGCCTCGGATGAGGTGAGTTTGTTTGATTCCATGTTCCTGCCATTAACCCTATTAGTATGTTGGTTTCTCTTTCCTGAGTTTGACAGATTTGAGAAGAATGGATGAAAGAGGAAAGACGATGATGCGAGAAAGATGAAGTTGATTTTTTTTTCTATTTTTCTTTTATTATTATTATACAGATTATTATTATTATTATTATTTTATTTTGTAAAAAAAACATTAACAAATAAATTAGTTTTAATTAGGCCATTTTAACCTTTTTTTAAATAACTAAAATAACTTAGAATTAGATTAACTTTTAATTTCATTTCTTTTTATTTTATTCCATAAAAAATACAAAAAAATATATTTTCTTTTAATTAAATTAATTAATTAGTCATTAGTTAGTTTTAATTTCATTTTAATTACAAAAAGACAAAAAAAAATCAATTTCTTTTCTTAAAAGGGTCAACACCCTTAGAACATTCCCGATTCGTTCTTTCGCGCGCATTTCAGTTTTAGTTCCTTATTTCTGATTATTATGTAACTGCCTCCGGATGTAATAGTAATTAGGATTTTTACTGTTTTTTTTACTTTCCGTACTTATTAACCTAAAAATGGGTCTTTGTATTTTTGGCGATGTATAGACCTGCGCCTTGTAATAGCGTAGGATTTATGTTTCTGCAATTTACTTTCCGCACCTCATAACTGCTAAAATTGCATGGAAGAATGTATGGTAAATAAAAACAACTCGTAGCTCACTAATTACAAAGACAAACATAACATGAAAACAACACACAACGCACACACCACTTCTAGGGTACGCCTCACTCGTTGCCTTCGAAACATGGTCATCAAGTATAGGGTGTCTTAGAGGTCGCCCTTTTGTCTAAAGATCCAGTTGCCTCGAAACGGTTGCCTCGGATAAAAGGATCTAAGACATTAGGGTTACCGCTAAGGTGTCCTACCATTGCTTTGGTGACCACACATGTCCCTTACAATCGAATTGACCCGAATACCTCCAACGACGGTGCTACCTACTTCTCAATAGTGGGATAGCACTATCTAAAGGACTCTTACACAGCTTAATTCCTTAGAGTAGGTAGATTCTCATGGGTACTTGCTCTTTCAAACAAAACAAAAACATCTTTTCACACCTCACACTTTCTAAAAGTTTTCAAACAAAACACTTCATACACACTTGAGGACTGATACAAGAGTTACTTAGAAGTTTTTCAAACGAAACTTTTCTCAAAACCCACACACATTTGAAAAGCAAACATCTTTTGAAAACATAAGAGCAAGTACCTAAGAGCCCATGGATAACCATGGATAGAAAGGGTGCTAACATCTTCCCTTTCTATAAATCTACCTCCCGAACCGAGAAACAATCTCATAAGGAATTTTGCTGTGCTTTTGTCCTTTCCAGGTTGGAGAAAATAAAAGATGGTGGCGACTCTTGCTTCCGCGACATTTCGCGAAACCAGCTTAAAAAACAGTCAGTTCTATTCCCACCGATCACAGAGGCTTTCTAGGACGGTTGAACTACATTGCCCGATTCATCTCACATCTAACTGCTACTTGTGAACCAATCTTCAAGCTGCTGAAGAAAGATCAAGTAGTACGTTGGAACGATGAATGTCAGGCCGCTTTCGAAAGAATCAAAGAGTATCTCCAAGAACCACCCATTCTTATGCCGCCGGTTGAAGGGAGACCTCTAATCTTATACTTGACTGTACTGGACAACTCAATCGGGTGTGTGCTGGGGCAGTATGACGAGTCTGGCCGAAAAGAACACAACATTTATTAACTTAGCAAAAAGTTTAACAACTGTGAGACCCGATACTCACTGCTCGAGAAAACTTGTTGCGCTTTGGTATGGGCTGCTCGCCGGCTGAGACAGTATATGTTGACTCACACCATTCTGTTGATTTCAAAAATGGATCCAATCAAGTATATATTTGAAAAGCCCGCCTTGTCCGGAAGAATAGCAAGATGGAAGATGATCTTGACAGAATACGACATCCAGTATACGAATCAGAAAGCAATCAAGGGAAGTGTATTGGCAGACCATTTGGCACACCAAGCAGTGGACGATTACCAGTCGATGAACTTTGAATTTCCAGACGAGGATATCATGGTAGTGACTGATTGTGAAGTACCTGGACCGGATGAAGAACCTGAGGAAGGATCCCAATGGTCTATGCACTTTGATGGAGCCTCGAACGCTTTGGGTAATGGTATCGGCGCTGTGATCATATCCCCTAAAGGCACTCATACTCCACTCACTGCCCGGCTATGTTTCAACTGCACCAACAACATGGCAGAGTATGAAGCATGTATCATGGGTCTTCAAGCTGCAATTGACTTAAGGATCAAGTTTCTAAGTGTCTTCGGAGATCCCGCTCTCATGATCAATCAGATCAAAGGCGAGTGGGATACGAAACACCCAAATCTTATTCCTTACAAGGAGTATGTACTGACGTTGATTCCCCACTTCGAGGAGATAACCTTTGAACATTTCCCAAGAGAGGAGAATCAGTTAGCCGACGCGTTGGCTACGATGTCTTCTATGTTCAAAGTCAAATGGGACAACAAGGCTCCCCGAATCATTATCTGGAAGTTGGACGAACCTGCACATTGCTGCGATCTCGAGACCGAAGAGGTAACAGAAAAACCCTAGTATCATGAAGTGAAGAGGTACCTTGAAGCTCAAGAATACCCCGAAGGAACATCTGTTAATGAGTGGAAGTTCCTGAGAAGGTTTGCGGCAAAGTTCTTCCTCAGCAATGGCATTCTCTACAAGCGAAACCATGATTCAACCTTACTGCGTTGTGTGGATAAGACTGAAGCAGAAAGGATCATGGCAGAGCTACATGAAGGTACCTTCGGAACACATTCCAGTGGACATACCATGGCAAAGAAAATCCTTCGGGCAGGATATTTCTGGTCCACAATGGAAGCCGATTGTTATCAACATTCTCGAACTTGTCATAAATGCCAGATCTATGCTGATAAGGTGCACATTCCTTCGGTTCCTCTGAACGTCTTGACAGCACCTTGGCCCTTTGCAATGTGGGGCATTGATATGATCGGCGAAATCAGACCTACGGCATCCAACGGGCATCGCTTCATCTTGGTAGCAATTGATTACTTCACAAAGTGGGTCGAAGCAGCTTCCTACGCTACGGTAACCAAGAACGTCGTGGCACGGTTTATTCGGCATAACTTGATCTGTCGATATGGCGTCCCGGAAAGGATCATTACGGACAATGGTACCAATCTTAACAACAAGATGATCACTGAACTCTGCGAGCAATTCAAGATACAACACCACAACTCTTCTCCCTATCGACCGAAGATGAATGGGGCTGTAGAAGCAGCGAATAAGAACATCAAGATGATTGTGCAGAAGATGACAGTGACCTACAAAGATTGGCACGAAATGTTACCGTTTGCTCTTCATGGGTACCGTACCTCAGCACGGACGTCAACAGGGGCAACTCCCTTTTCCTTGGTCTATGGCATGGAGGCAGTCTTGCCTATTGAAGTCCAGATACCCTCTCTCCGGATAATGAAGGATGCAGGTTTGAGCGAAGATGACTGGATCCAGACTCGGCTTGATCAATTAATCCTAATTGACAAAAAGAGACTCACTGCTATTTGTCATGGTCAGACGTACCAAAAACGGATGATCAGGGCATTTAACAAGAAGGTCAGACGACAAGAGTATCAAGTCGGAGATCTGGTAATCAAGCGCATCATTCTTCCTCAAAGTGATCCCAGGGGAAAATGGACCCCTACGTACCAAGGGCCATTTGTGGTTAAACATATCTTCTCAGGAGGAGCTATGATTCTAACCACCATGGATGGTGACGACCTTCCTCACCCCGCCAATGCAGACTTAGTAAAAAGATACTACGCATGAATTAAAGACCCGCTAGGTTGACACACCTAGGAAAAAATAAGGGCTTCCCGGCGAACCAAAAGGGTTCGAGCAAAAATAAGGGACGAAATGAAAAAAAATCTGTACACCCGGCAAGTCGAAAACCTGAAAAGGCAGCTTGGGCAAAAATGGGTATCCCGGTAGACTGAAAACCCGAAAGGGAGGTCCAGGCAAAAGTTAGGGATAAAGCGTAATACTATGTCTCATTGGATCACCTTGCATCCAGAATTCGGCATCAACTATCGGGCTCAGATGACTCCAATCAATCAGCTTCATCTTCAACTAAGCAGCAGAGTGATGAGACGCTTGAAGACATAAAGGCGATAGCAGAATTGGAACCCAGTGGGATTATTTTTCACATAGCTGTTTTGTTTCCTTTTCACAAAATTGTATAAACTCTATTTTGCTCGGCGGCGTTCTCTTACTAGGATGTCAGCCTCCTGTACACAAACGCCTATTTACAGGCAAATTTCAAAATCAAAACAAGTTCAATTTTTCTGACAAATTACCCATTGTTTTTCCTTTTTTCTGTTTTGTTTTGCAAAGAACGTCCAATGTTCATTTTTGATATATGCATTTGACATTAATTGCTAATCATGAATATTTGCATGCGAAACAAAGGACTAATTACATATGACATCAGAAACAGAGGCAATAAAGAATTGTCTAAGCGATCTAGTTGCTCTGTCCACCAAGGTACCAAGGTAGGTTCGGCTGAAGAACGTAACCAGGATACCTTCACTCCCCGTTGGGTAAGACAAGATTCAGCAGTACTCTCCAGGCAGAATTGGTCTCCCATCAGCCCTAAAAAGGCACAATATCTCCAGCAAGTCAGCGATACTCTCCCCAAGCAGAGTTAGTCTTCTGTCAGCCTTAAGGAAGTTGGGTATCCCCAGAAGATCTCAATATTCCCCAGCGGAGTATAGACATTCCTCAGCAAGCATCCCCGGCAGTCTTAATATAAG